TTGATTTCTTTTTTGGATTTATTGACACACTAATCAGTGTCTACATATCACTTTTATCGTCTTATTGTAATATGAATTACTATTGATATACGAGTATGATTAAACAATCCAAATTCAATTAGAGGAATAGAAATGCTACTGTTACGGTAGTCAAAGAAAGTAGAGTAGGTAGCTTCTGGTCAAGAATGAAATTAAACTATTTTATAATTGTATTGGCATGTTGTAGCTTGTAATTCTAATAACGTTGTGACACATTTTGGCATTAGCCCATGGAAAAACAGAATGATTAAAAAAGGAAGTTATACGATTAATGGCGATAAATATCCAATTTTAGTTATGACCTAATTGTTTCACGTTGTCTTGATAATTCCAATTTAAGATCTTAGCAACGATTCTAAAATGCGCACGGCACATTAGCGAACGTGGCATCGATTAAATTATCAAAAACAGCATGATAAACATTATGATGGTTAAGAAAATTTTAGTCTTGGACACAATTTAATTTCAATGTGGTCTATTTTCCGATTTTCTATTATTTACCTTGAGAACGAGTAAACTAATAAATCATAATCTAAAGTACATTTATCCTTGATCGAAAGTTCTTTAAATGCTGAAAGATGTTGAATTCCCATGCAAAAGAAGTAGACTGTTTTTTGTTAATTAAGAATATAGCAATAGTTGAATATTCTTATAACAATCCTTGGGAAATATACTGAAATCTCAATTATCTCTGAATAATATCGGCCAAAAATAAGAAGCCTCAGAAGATAAATGACTTTCTTACTATTTAGTCACTTTGTTCATTTCTTAGTGTATTAGGTTGTCACAACCCTCACTTGTGGCAAAGGAAAGTAAAGAACTCTAGTGTAGTTACTTAAAACTTGGGCTATTTCTCCCAGTACTTTCAGTTTCTATGAGAGAAGTATTTGAGAACTCGATTTCTCGGCTGATCTCCACAGACAACTGACTAATTATTACACTATTCTTCACGATATGAGTCTTACCGTTTCTTGAGCAATTACTTACTTTATTCTATAAACACACGCG